CTCTCTCTCCGTTACCTGACAGGGCGGGGGAGCGAGAGGCCCCCGGGCGCTCCGGTCCTCCCGGGAAGGGCGGGGGCAGGCTGGGCCGGGCGGCGCCTCACGGGCGGCGCAGCGGGGCTCTCCCGGTCGGCAGCATCCGAACCGGCGCCTGCCGAGCCGGGGACTAGCGGGAGGAGGAGCGGGAGGTTACGGCGGGGAGCCGGGAAGAAACCATTCCCCGCGAGGGGGCACCGCCGGCGGCCGGGCAGGCGGGGCGGGGAGGACGGGCCCTCCCACACAGGTACGTGCGAGGAGAGCGGGCGGTGAGCGCGGAGCGGGGCAGGCGGTGCCGGCGGCGGGGGGCAGCCCCCTCCGGGCCGCCGGTGTCCCCCCTCCCCTTTCCGCTGGGGGTGGGAGCGGCCCGCGCTGCCTGCCCGCCCGGGGACGCGAGCCGAGGCCCTAGCAACCGCCAACGGCACCGCGGGGCGCGCTCCCCTCAGGGCCGGGAGCGGCCGCTTCCCTTCGGCCCCTCGGAGCCGTGGGGGCGCCCGGGCTGGGCTCCGCCTGACGGAGGAGCGCCGCGGGCCGGGAGGGCGCTCCTCCCCGGCCTGGGAGCACCGAGCGAGCGTCGCCGTGAGGCGCGGGAAGCCTGTCCCGGCGCCCGCAGGACTCTGTGGCGGCGGCGGGATGCGCCGGGGCCGGTGGAAGGGCCTGCGGCCCCAGGAGCCGCCAGCGGCTGTTTGGGGAGAGACCGCGGCTCCTGTCGTCACCTGCTGCAAGACGCGGGTCTGTGCTCATTTATACCCCTTTTCACACCATTATTATTCCCCCCCCCCCGTTCCCATTTGGTCTTAAAACCAACGTTTTCGCCCCCGCGTGCATAACGGCCCTTTCCCTCAACGAAAGGCGTTTCAGCCTTTCCCTGAAATACTTTGCGTCTTAGCATAAGGCACGTGACCTAATCAGATCAATGCATTAAAGATTAAAAAAAAAAAAAAAAGGAGAAACATTTGTCAAATAAAGATTTTAAAGAATGTTATCTAAAGACATTTTTTTTAAAAAAATCTTTTTTTAAAAGAATAAATAAAAGCGCAACAGAAATTTGGTCCATTCTGTCAATAGATGATGTAGTGTCCTCTTTGTTTATCAAGGTTAGGAGCCAGATTCACAGCGGTGGGTATCACCGTGGCACTGGATTTAGGTGATTTATGTTTGACGTGAAACTGGCCGTAATCTTTTATTCACTTATTCTGATTGCTAAGGTTTGGGTTTTCTTCTATTTTATCAATTAATTAACCTACTTTATTCATACTATTAGGTTCTCACATCACACATTCCTCACTGCAACGTACCTTTAAAATCAATTTCAGGCTAATATTTTCTACACAATCTGTTGGCTAAAATAGGCCTTCCATGTGAATCTCTACAACTACCTCTCTAAGGCAGTTAGACATAAATATATTCAATAGGCTTAGGTTAAAGTTTTCTTTTTCTTGGTCAGAAAGAACTAGAATGGAGAAAGTTGTCAGTGTTAAATGATGTAAAGCAAGTTGGTTGAAAATTTAATTACAACTTGATCAGCACTATGGTTTTGGTTCTACTTTAACATTTTGCAAGGTAAGCTGATATTTTAAAAGGAAGAGATTGTGGGCTTCTTGCAAATACTAGAATGATTATTAAGGACAGGAAGCCACATGAAAAATCCTTTAGGGAATCCTAGAGAGATGTCAGACTGTTTTCTCATGTGTGGTATGGGTTTATAGCCTGTAAAGTTGAAGAATTTCTTACTTTTTACAGACATGGTATTTTTCATTGGGTTTGATTACAGTTTACAGTGTGTTTTTTACTGATACGCAGAAATTATCATTTATTTACCGCTCAAACCTTTGTTAGGCTTGTCAAAAAAAAAAGAAGCAGAGGTATAATTTCTGCCCACAAACATTTAATCTCACGGAAATTCACATGCTTGCTTGTGTAGGTAAGTGTTTGGAGAAACAGACCTTTATTTTAATGAAAGAAAACCCATGCTAGAGCAGAGGCAACGGGATCTAAGCTTGTCCCCATGTAAGCATTTTTTATTTTTCTCACAGCTGTGTTACAGGATGCTCACAGGGAAAGGTTTGATTTTCTTTCCGTTAGTCATTTGGAATGCTGCCACCGACTGCAGATGAAGCCATTTACAGGGTTTACATGCATTGCGTGTTATCTCCAGGTCAAAGCTTGCTTCGGGCCTACAGCAGATCCTGCCAGCTTTGTTTTAGCTGTATGTCCATATTCTGTACCCTAAATCAGGTCTCTACACCCCAAAGTCTGAGGTGCACCTCCCTGCTGAGTGAATTATGTTAGATAGTGGGAAGAGCAGCACAAATGAGAGCTTATGAGAGACTGTTGCAGCTGTGGCTTTATACTCCGCAGGCAAACCCAGACCTTTGCAATACGACTGTGCTCTTGCTCTGCTCCTGGGAGGTTCCGGGGTGCAGCTAATGCTTCCCCTTTCCAGAGGAGCACTGGTACAAACAGACGCTGGTCTCAGCTGGGAAATCACAACCAGCACAGACCAGAGCCTGACAGCACAAATGCTTTTTCTCATCTCCATTTCTGGGAGGCAGGAGGCATTAATCTCATCCAGAATGTGCTTTTAGTAGTTGTTTCCCAGAAGCAGATCAGATTTACTTTTTTTTTTTTTATTGTGATCCGCATTCTGTGTCACTCTGGAAGTAGATGGTACTTCCTACCTCCATGTTGAAACACTAGAGCTAACAAAATTTAGTAAGAAACCCAAACAGGGTATTAAATACACAGATGCTTGATTAGGAGTATTAAATAGAGTTTTATTTTTAATATTGAGCTAGTTTAAATATTGAACATTGATGCACTTGAGACAACAGATGTGCCTAGATAATTATTGTAAATAGAACTAGCAATAAAAATACATTTTTATGGCATGAAGATCATCTTACAAATTTCACAAATAAATAAACATAGACAAAACAGAAAACTAGAGAATGAAGAATGTGCTTTCTCAGAAATCTACATATTTCTATGATTTTTTTTTAGGGTTTTTTGTTTTGTTTTTTTTTAGTTTTTTTCCCTGTTTTTCCATCCAGGGATCCCGGGTACCTTTGTGACTTTCCATTGTTATAGTAGAAGAACAATGGTGGCAATCAGATCAATCCTGTCTTTGAGAGAAAGGTTGATTGCTTATTTGAGCACAGTTCCTATTTCACCTTTCCTGTTATTAGTAACATACTCCCTGAATAATTATGAGCACTGTAATGCTGCATATGTGTAATCCATCCCAAAGTCAGTAAATGTGATTTCTTCAAATTACAAAGAGGAGAATTAAATTCTCTAAAGAATATTGGTCTTTGAACAAAGTCACAAAATAGGCTTTGAAATGCAAATCTATTTCTCCTGTCCACTCCACCATCAGCTTCCAGAGTAGCAGTAGGATGCACAATCTGATATGGTCCAGAAAACCTGAAGTTGCATTTTGTCCCTATTATTTAAACAGGGTGTACCTTCATGAAAATGTTACCCTTGGGGAACGCCAAAAAGACAGTTCCAAAACATTAAAAGTAACAATCATGAAGTTCAAAAGCTTTGAAACAGGACCAGCAAGTAGCTGTATAATATGAAACTTAGCTATTCCAAGTGTGTTTTCTTCTGTTTGCACAACACTCATCTTGGAATATATTTACAAAGTAGTTAATTAGGCTTTTTCTGAACAGGTGTATTTTCCCACTTGCTATAAAACTATGTCCAAACATAGTCTGTGCAGTCAAAAATCACCCATTTCCTAGTGACTGACTAGAAAACGTTACCAATGAAGAAACAAGGTTCAGCTCAAGTTCCCTCCCTCTACTTTATATTCCCTCAGGATTCTCACCACAAGACTTCTCAGCCCAACCATACTTTTTTTTTTTTGCTTCAAAGAGCAACACCCATTTCTTTTATAATAAGCCATCTGCTCACTGCGTTAGCAAAATCCACGCAACAGCTTCCCAGCAGCACCAACACCTGCTAACAGGGGATGGTGTTTCAGGCAGATACTGCCAGCCTGTCACAGCTTCTTATCTCCTGTCTCTCTAATCTTCAGAGCGCTGTCTGGGATTATCTCCTGGAAATCAAACGCCCAGCAAGATGGCTTGTTATTTTTATATATATATAAGCAAACATGTGCTTGATTGAGTTCATTGCTGCTGTAAACAACTTTTATTATACAGATCAATGTGAATTTACAAGCTGTAGCAGTGGGATATTGACACAACATAGCATTTCATATATAATAACTTTTTATGGTGCTCATCACTCCAAACACACTCTGGGTGAAATTCAGGA